AGATCACTGAATGAATCCCTGAAATATCTAGGAATCATTTATCAGTTTAATGAATTAATTATTGAGTAACTACTTACATTTGGTGACCAAAATTAAATAAAGAATAAATGGGTTTTAAAGTGATTGAACAGAATAACTAGATAAAATGGGTGAAATAAGTTGTTCTCTAGTAGTTTCTGAACACCATGACTGTTGTATGTATGTGTTAATGAACCCAAAACAATTTAGTTAAGAAATAGCAAGTCTAGCCAGATTTTGTCCACCTATCAAAACAGCAATGGGAATTTAGTTTTTATAGTGTCATAACAGATTTCATAGACCACTTTAGCATATTTGTTTGCATGCTTCACTTTCTGTCATAACTAAAATAATTATCAAACCAAATGTGAAATCAAATGAGGTGAATGAACATCATGTCTACAGAAATAATTCCATAATGGTGACTGGGTAGTTTTACACACATTGTAGATATATTCCATGGGCTTTAAGCACATGGGAATCAAACCCTGGCCTTAGGTGCAATGAGCAAATACTTTCACCACAGGACTACCCTCCAGCCTTTACTTCATTGAGGTCAGGTAAACCTGCACAGCTACTTCATGTTGTATGAAAACAAGTCTATAACATCACACAGTTATCAGATTTACAAACACACAAGACATGTCTTTTAAGCATGAACAGGGGAAACAATAAAAAACATTTTCCACGCTGCTTAGTTAATTGTCTGCTAGGATACAATTACAAAAAGTCAAGTATGAAAAGTCATTAGGTTTAACAAAATAATTATTTGGGGCACAGACAAGTGTATTTGTTTATTAATGAACAGAGAGACCCCAGGCAACAGAGTTCCATTATAATGGAGACTGAAGAATATACAGACTATATTTGTAGTTTCTTGTCGCTAACATGCTTATCTCATCAGCTGACATTGACAAAGTGGGTATTTTCATGAGTGGTGCAGTCAACGATGTTGGATAACCAGACGAGGAAAACATTCACAAACTTTGACAAGAACAGACAATGGTTCTATTTATTCAGCACTTTCTGAATGATCTCAACAGGCATTTTCCTGCAGTAAGGGGACATAACTCCACACACCAACAGGGCTAAACTGACAAAACGTCTCCCAAAACCAAGATGTGAATTAGGTTTAAACAAATAATTCTACAAAGGTACCCATGTGATTCTGAAATTCTGATAGCTGAAAAGGGAACAAGAATGGAATATGAGAAATGAATGGGAAGGAGTAGATATGTCATTGTTTACTATCCAATGTCATTTTCTTAACACAGAAAAAATGAGTTTGATGAAAGTGTATCCTTTACATTAAACTAACAACTAGTCTCTGAAATGAACATATTTTACAGCAAAAAAAGCTCATAGTTAAAAAATATATATAATGAAAAGGAGCCCTGAGACTTTCTAGCTGTGGAAATCTAGACTTGAAACATTTTCTAGACTTGAGAGGGCTTTCTTGGATATATTTGCTTCAGGTCTGTATAACAGACTACCTTTACATCAGCCAACCCCTTTCTACAGACTACTTTTTTGGTCCTCAAAATTCTGCTTATCTGTGGTCATATATATATGGTAATCTGTGAAAGGAACAAAATCTGGGCGATTTTTTCTTTCTTGTCTGCTTAAACTGAGGCTCATCCACCCCACATGGTGAAACCTTGATAAACCAAATACAAGCAATCCCACTGAAATCACCTGTATCATTTCTGGATCAACAAATCATTGTTACAGAGCAATGTATATACATTGATGTTTCCTGCTATAACTGCCAAGTCGTTGATCAAGATTTCATGGAAGAATGTAAACATATATTACTTCACCAACTGAAGCATATTACATTACATGACTGAGCTAATCATTGATATAGTAGCCAGCAAGGTGGCCTGAAAAGCATTACATCCTAGATGCCACAAACCAGTGATTGATAGTGTGGGCATCCTAGATGATCAGGGTAAAAATCAACATTTGATCATATCATTCCTGAGAGTCCTTGTGACTATATCATACTAATATTTATCATTAAAAAATGGATCCCACAGGTGATATTGCTTGGGTGAGATTAAGTGAGAATGTGCTTCACAATACCTTGTGGCCAGAAATATGATCTTAATCAATAGATTCTCACCCTTGTGTCCTAAGACATCGACCATGTCAACACTTTTAACTTTTAATGATTCATACAGGCATAGTTGACTTTAGACAACACAAGGGTGAAATTTGCTATTATTGATGATGAATAGTTTACTACCAAATAACTGTTTCAACATGCTAACATGACAAATAAGGGGACATATTCTGTTTCAGAGTTCCCATGGTAGCGTCTATAAAACACCTGTGTTGAATTCACTTACACTTCTTTCACAATCAAATAGTTCTTATCACAACCTCATAAAACACCTACCTTTGGAATCCATGTTTTGTGTATGACGATCTATGTAAATATGCAGGTGAAGGTAGCTCATTATAGATGAAATATTTCAAATTAGTTCCAAATAGGCATGCCTATCCATAGGAGTGTAAAATATGTCAAGCCCATTCTCACAACAACCGAGAAATGTCTCATGGTTGAATTAATGTTGAGACAAGAAATCAGGCAGAAGAAGAACAACAATACAGCAGTTTTATATGTCTGTGTGAGTTGGATTTACCGTATCAAATTATACTGGTATTATGAGTATGATTAGAAAAATAAACTCTGCAAAGGATACCTTTGTAGGTTTCCCCATCTCCTGTCAAACTTGTGTCATAGAAATGTACATTTTTTCATGAAGTATACAATGTAATGTATATTGTGGTGATACCTTTCACGAGAATTCCCATAACCTTTGTGATCTTTAAATGTATACCTGCACATGTAAAGGCAGTGCTATTTCTATGCACTGAATATGCATTCATTCCAACAAATTGAAATTTAGTCATCTCAAAAAGTAGTTTTATTCTTTTGTAGACTACTTATCCTTGTATTTAAAAAACTGTTTTGTTGCATGGAAAGGTATTTGAAATGTTCAGAAATTATCAATTTTCTTTCAATTTGAGATGTTAAAGTTTCAAAGCAATGTAATTTCAAATTTCAAAACAAATTTTCTCAATTATGTAGTAAAATCTCACGACTTCTATCTATCTTAAATGTTCTCCTACATTAAGACTTTTTTTACATTATTTCAGTGTGTATCTAACATTTGGGATAGTGAATGTTTACAAATAAAAATGAATCTCATCACAATGCCTATGTGTACAAAATATATGTCATGATGTCCACAGAAATATTCTATTTTCCCTCCAGCGACTCTTGCAACACAACAGGAAAGGGATTGAATTGAAATCAACACTAGAAACCTTGTCTATTTCATAACAACATGAACACATTTCAATGATGACCTAAAGCTGGAAACTCTGAATCACTTATCCAAAACACCAGAATCAAAACAATGTCCAGTTAGAATATATTTGAGAATATTTCAGAAGACATTACATAATCATTCTGAATGATATTACAGTAGCTTTCTTATGTCATGACATACTGGAATGTCCTCCTGTGACTCTTATTATATCATGTTTCAATTTCTACACAGAGTTCCAAACAGGCGTATTAGTAATAAAGACTTGATGCATGGTAGCTTAATGAAATGTCAAGTCCTTCTTCAGTTATTACATCCCTCAGAGGACAGTACCTTGTATCAAAACAACCAGTACATTTCCCCACTCATATGATATGGCTCAGTATGATCTATTTCAAACCCTCTCAAGAGAGGTCTTAAGATCCATAACAGAAATCAACAGGAAATAATTTGATCCAATGTCGTAGTGATCTTTAAAAGTCTTTATGCCCTGATCTTCTAAAAGCAGTACCGGTATGCTGTTTTTACTTGACAGGACAGCTCTGATTTAAAAAGAATACACACTATCCAATGTCTAGACATGAAATCTACAAGTAAATATTGCTGGAATCTATGATCAAGTGTGATATTGACGCAGACACTAAAGGTTGTAGGTTACTAGCCAGGGGGTGAAAAGTACTTAAACAATCAATTATTTGACGCTACTTTCCACTTTTTGTGTAATAGATAATTGTTTGGTTTCCATGATCTAATCCTCTTATCTTGAAGGCAGGTGAACGACCTGGACTGATGTTTTTTATGCAAGGTGAAGGAAGTATGGCCATGAAGGGAAGATATCAGAGGGCACAAATACTTTCCACTGGAAAAACATATGTACTATAAAATGTTAGATACTCTGGGTTACAATTCGCTGAATAACTATAAACTTAAACATTATTGTTTTGGCATACAGTTTAAACGTGCAAAGAAACAGCAAAGATATAATCATGTTTTACTTCAGTTTCTTTTGAAAACTTACAAATTATAAATGGATGGTATATATGCATAATACAATAGCCTCATATTTAATATGATAAATATTACTGAGCAATAAGTACAAAGGGGGTTTAATTAAGAAACTATAAAATAAACTGAATTACAGCATCAATATTTGTTAGAATTTGGGTAGGTTTATAGTGACTGGGAAAGGTCTGTAGCACAACAGTCACGTAAACACACCACCAAAACAAAACTTGCCGTTCGTATAATCAGTGATTGTGGTCAAACAAATGACTTGTTTGATCTGGGATTGTTGTAATTAAAAGACATAAACAGTCAAAGTGAATCTGTGGAAATCAATGGCCATTTTACCAACTTGATACAGAACATCCCCATCAAACTATGTATCACATATTTCTGGAACCTCAAACCTTCATGACTGAACTGACCATAAACAACCACTGTTGACAACAACAGCACACAAACACAATGAAAAACTGTAATTCTGAAGATTTACCTTCCACTATCAATGAAAAAATCAGACAACACCTGATCTTCCAAGTTAGAACAAACAAAATCTGTTCCATCCATTGTGCCAAACATGATTTCTGAAAGAAATATTTGTAGAAGAAAGGGGTTCATCTTGATTATGAAGTAATTTCTTACCTTGCAAATTATTATTGTTATTCTGTTGATTCAGATGTGACCGCACTTTATCATTTGACGTGGAGTTCGCCCCGTGAAGCGTTGGCTTCCCCCGAGATTGGTTGAGGTTTGAGTTGCTATTGGAGCTATCCTTCGAGGTAGAAAGGTTACTTATAGAGCTGGGGTTCTTGTTGCTATGCTTAAAAGGTGATGGAAGTCTGAAAAGAAACAAAAAACATTAGATCAAGTTTAAAACATAATCATATAAGCATAAACTAATCCAAGAATGGGATCACAAATTAAACAGTTTTACTTATTTCTAGTAATATTCCAGTTACAGCATGATACCATGAGGGATTCTCATGCTGAAACCATGTTTGGAATAAAACTTGCCGGAGTTGAGAAGAAAACTGACTGACTGAGTTTAGTTTTATGCCGCTTTTAGCAATATTTCAGACATCATGGCTGACACCTGAAAGTTTTATGTACCCATGTAACAACCCGGTCTTCAGCGTGACGAGCCAACACTTTAACCACTAGGCTGCCCCACCGCCCCTGAGAAGAAAACACTTGAACCAGTTGGCTACCCAACCACCCCAGTTGTCAATGGTACATGCAACAGTGTACACTTCAGGGTATGATGCTCCTCTAAATGTGCCTGGTAATTGCTAAGCATCAAGTTGGATTTAAACTAACAGCTGCCAGCAGGAGGTTCCCTCTTGACATTCATCACTGGATTGTCTGGTCCAGACTTGATTATTTACAGACCGACACCATATACCTGGAATATTGCAGAGTGTGGCGTTAACCAACCAACCCTCTTGACATTCAGTCAGCAGTCATTGCACCATATAGTTCAAAATTCAAGACTTCACATTTCCCTGTTTATTTTTAACCTGTTGATACTTTTCTCGCTTAAGACGTACCACCATCATTAGAAACAAAAAGAAAATATAAGACAAGCCCAAACTATGACTCATGCAAGTAAAACTTATGTAACAGCACATCTGCATTCTGAAATTATTTCAATTCTATTTTAGTTCCTTAAGCGAGGAAGTTTAGGCAATTAGAAACAAATAAAAAGTTTGAGAAAGTTTAGCACACACCTATAGTTATTGAAGTAAATGCAATGTCTCCAATAAGTGACTGTCTGTAACTTGAAGGCAAGTATTTATTCATACTTCCAAATATAATCAAGAATAAGCTACCTGTGGCAAATTCAACATAAAGCAAATAGTACTACCCGAGGCTGTATGAAATAGCCAGCAGGCAGTTCCTCTGCTTGTAGTGCACTGTGTTCAAACAATGGAACATCATCAAATATTCATGAGATAAGTATAGATCACAAAATCACCACAAAGCCAATTTTTTCATTTAACTGGATTTACCAGAAATTTCCAGGATTTGCTATAAGTTCCTGGAAACCAATTACATTGATGAAAGAGCCTAGTAGACAAGGCAAGACAAGGGCCTCGAAGTCTCTAGCGGAATAACAAATGAACCCATGTCTTGTTACCATCTAATGCAAGCAAAGTCGGCACTGGGTATGTACTTACATATGTTTCATGTATAAATTTTTTTAATCATTCGCATTAGTACAAATAAAACTTGATAGTGAGTACTTGATATATTTGAGATAACCTGTACCTGTTACCTTTTTTTAAATATTGATATATCCTATATCTTTTATATTTTTATGAATAATTTCAGTTAGAAACCCATTTCCTGTATTTAATGTCGGAAGTTTCAAGTATTGTTATTTGCATCCAATTTTCCAATCCAATCTGTATCCTATACATGCATAAATCAAGTACATAGCAGGTGATTTTATATTCAACACCTTAAAAACTATGAATCTGTTATGAATGTAAAACTTCAAAATAGTTACTGATTTGTACATTTTTCTCCCTCACATTATCATCAAATCATATCTATCTTTATGAAATAATTACTTCTTTTTTTAAAGGATTATATGAAACCTGATTCTAAAAAGTTTTCCATTTTTTATATTACATATTGCTGAGTGTGGCATGAAGCAAACAAACAAACAATTATATTACATGTCATGTGATACACACTCTTCACAAGATGTGACATACGCTCATTTTAACTTACTGCATAAAAAATATTTTCTTTATATCCACTTCTTGAAATGTTTCTTTACATAAAACTACATTTTACATGATTGTTTAAGATTTCATATCCCTCTTACTTGAAGATTCATGGGATATTCCATACAAAAATTAACCTCAATATTTGTAGGGGAGGTAGATCATTTGAACCCTTTTCCATGTAAGCTCACGTATACATCCCTATATAAATGACCATATACATGGGAGTCCCATAATGTCAGTGATTTTAACACCAGTCTCACCATGTTAAAAATCTCATATTTTCACCAGTCTCACCATTTTAAATATCACATATTTTCACCAATCTCACCATGTTAAAAATCTCATATTTTCACCAGTCTCACCATGTTAAATATCACATATTTTCACCAATTTCACCATGTTAAAAATCTCATATTTCCACCAATCTCACCATGTTAAAAATCTCATATTTTCACCAGTCTCACCATGTTAAATATCACATATTTTCATCAATCTCACCATGTTAAAAATCTCATATTTTCACCAATCTCACCATGTTAAAAATCTCAAATTTTCACCAATCTCACCAGGTTAAAAATCTCATATTTCCACCAATATCACAATGTTAAAAATCTCATATTTTCACCAATCTCACCTTGTTTATATAGCCTTAAAATACCAGCGTGATCCAGTCAATATCCTTATTTCACCCTGATTTTAAAATAATGCCAGTCTTACCTTGTCTATAACATTATGCATAGCAATTCTCTCATCCCTTCCACTGTATTTGAACATCACCGTGTCTTAACTATACAGACAACAGCTACATTCTCACTGTAGCATCATATGTAAAAGCCAGATAATCCATGGTCATCTTAAAGCTACAAACAGGATGTCATGTGAAACATCTGCTTATCTTTACATGTGTTGCATTATTTATATCCTTGAGTATAGTTTCCTCATGACAAGTACATCCTAGTGTACCTATCACATTTACATCGGTTACTTTATCTTTGTCCTTGAGTATAGTCTCTTCACGACAAGTACATCCTAATGTACCTATCACATTTACATCGGTTACTTTATCTTTGTCATTGAGTATAGTCTCTTCACGACAAGTACATCCTAATGTACCTATCCCGTTTACATTGGTTACTTTATCTTTGTCCTGGGTATAGTTTCCTACCAGCGAGTACATCCTAGTGTACCTATCACATTTACATTGGTTACTTTATCTTTGTCCTTGAGTATAGTCTCTTCACGACAAGTACATCCTAATGTACCTATCCCGTTTACATTGGTTACTTTATCTTTGTCCTGGGTATAGCTTCCTACCAGTGAGTACATCCTAGTGTACCTATCACGTTTACATCGGTTACTTTATCTTTGTCCTGGGTATAGTTTCCTACCAGTGAGTACATCCTACATATGTTATATTTGGGATTACACTTTCTTTGTAAAGTGCAGATTCTAGTACTTTTTGGGTTGAGTCCCATCCGGGATTCGAACCCACACCCTCAGAGTCAGGCACCTAATCGCCAGCACACAAAGTCAGACGCCTAGACCGCTCAGCCACCGCGGTTTCCTGGAAGTCGGACAACTGGTAGTCTAGACTGCCCAAGACCCCAAGTACATCCTAGTGTACCTATCACATTTACATTGGTTACTTTAATTTTGTCCTGAGTATAGCTTCCTCCCAGCCAGCACATCCCAGTGTACCTACCAGCCGCCTCAATGTGTTGGATGTAGTAGACATGCCCTAATACTGGCTCGCTAACTCAACACAACACATATTCCCCATGTGGTGGGTGGTGAATGCGGTCAGCTGATTACCACCGCTGTCTACATTGTGAGACATGAGTTGTAATGAAATGTAATTGACAAGCTTTGTTCAGCTGTTGTAAGAGCCATGTCCACGTGAGAAACAGACATCATGTCGTCATAATACATTTCATAGAGTAGGAGGTTAGAGGCTGTCTGGAGGTGATGGTTGTCTTGTGCATATTTACAACGGCTTGGTGTGCAGGCAAAAGAGCATTTGATAATGCTTTGTAGCTGATTTTACAAGTTTTGAAAAAAGTTTACACAAAAGTTAATTTAAAATAAACTAACATGCAATTGACATAGTCGTATTGTGCAGCTGACATGTCGGGAAGCTGAGGAATGGAACATCATGGAATAGACTGGAACATGAGTGTTGTAAGTACTAGGACATTTGGACAGTTATGTACACTGAGACTGACCTTTTACACCGCTTTTAGCAATATTCCAGCATAGTCATTGAACATTTGTACATCCAGTGAACATTTGTACATCCAGTATTTAAGTATAAATCTAGTAAGCACTTATTTAAGTGACATGTCAGAACAGAAGACACTGATACTGTGATAAGTAGCAGACAATTTGTTTGGTAAGCCAAGGACACGTGCTATCACCACAATTCTAACTTCTTAATACTTTTTAATTCAAATGCAATAAACAATTTCAAGGGCAGTTTTTCTAATTCATGCAAACATACTTGAAAATCTTGCACACTGTATATCAGATTCTGGATATTTAAGTACATGAGAGTGGTATTTAAAAGCAAATCAAGTTTCTTTAACAATTGCTGTTATAATGCAACTTTCAATCAACATTTTGATTACAGTTTGAACATACAGAAATTTAAATGAATGAATAATTGAAAGACTTTAGTCTTATCAATAACAATTAAATAACAGATAATAGCTCTAACACATTGTAATTTTTCTGGGATCTCACTCACTGCCTACTGTCAAGCCAGCAAGAGTTATCTCCCTTGGCATGGGAACCCTCTGCTCATTTGCGATTCTCTTTCAACCATTGAAATTCACACTTAGTCACGCACAGTGATAGCTGTCCAATACACAATGTGATGAAATCTACACAATGTTCCTCAACAGTGACAAGACTCTTCACAAGCATTCCCTAGCAGGACGTCTTGCCTCATTGTTAACGGAAATAAAATGATAAAATCCTGATCCATTTCACCAGAACTGCTTTTGTCTCTAACCATTTTGATGGCAATATGGTAGATTTACCTCAAGGTCAGGGAGTGGATTTGGACAATGCTTGATGTTGAGATCTGAGGATGCACACAGACAGTT